CTGATATTAAATAATTACTTATCTAAAACTGGATATAGTATACTGATTAACAATGACAACCAAGCGCGACGAGCTAGATAAAATAAAAATATTCAAGGATGCATGCATTTCAAGAATGGGTTAATTTGGGTTGTTTTGCATTTTTTTGTAATTCCCGATCAGGTAAATTTACGAGGACTAGCACGCAGTACAAACACGGGTTAGTTTGTATATTTTTGATCAGGTTCGATACAGCACAGTTACTGTTGGTTTAAGTGTACAAATTTCAATAGTTCAATGGGTAGTAAAATGGTTTGAACACTTAGCTCTTCTCTCCTCGCGAATATCTACCACATGATGCTTTTCATGTTTATTAAATTTTTATCTGCTAACCAGAGCGATTGTGATATTAAGCTGATAAGAATAGATATTATATATTGATCTGCGTCAAAGGTCGAGAAGAGGATTCATTCAATATTTATAAAATCCAATTTATAGTTATTTGCGCCAACATTTTTTATCATAAAACAATATTTTGGGATCAAACTAAACTATCTATAAAGAAGAAGCATGATATTTTTTTGAAGGAACTTTACTTAACTATACGTATAGTACCTGAAGGTAATTATTTAAAATCAGTCCATTAACTTTATGATGACAAAAAAAATTTTAGTGAATACGACTTATCGAGCGCTTATATTAATTTGAAATGCAAACTTTTATTTAATAGCGGACGTGAGTTATCGAGCATTTATATTTCTTTATCGAGCACATTTCATTAATATACCGAACATAATTTAGCGTGCAAATTGTATATTTTATATTGCGATTTTATAATAAATATAGAGCATTCCTTATTTTCTTATCGAGCATTTTGGATTTTTTTATCGAGCATTTAGTATTTTTTTAACGTGCAAATTATGACTCATAAAAAATTAGTTGCGTGTTTGCAACCTCCAGCCGAAGCAGAACATCAAAGCATTCACATGAAATCACTTTTGATTCTGTTTCATCAATAACTGCTATCACAGTGTATATATAGAGTCTGATGTAATTTGGTTTCCGGTGTTATTTTGGCTTTTACTGTACACAAATTATCGATACGTTTTACTTGAACGCGATGGACAGCTGAATCTCCATAGGACTCCTTTGTCGACCTCTTTGCTTTGACACCTCTCATTTCGGCACTCACATAATTTAAATTATCCACATAAAAGTCATTAACCATTCCACTAAACACTTTTAGAAGATTGTCTGATGAAGCTTTATCAAAACCACTATCCAGTTTTGCCATTTTTATAATACAATTAATACAAAAATTATAAATTGGAAACATGAAATTGAACTATAAACTTTTTAACTCACAAGATCTGTTAAACAACAAACAATAGATAATGAAACGCAACGGCAAAGAAATAACACAAAGATTTACTTTTCAACAGTTGGTTTTATATTGATTCTTCCTAAAAGTAGTTTCGAAAATACGGACCAAAATATTTTCCCTTTCTTTGGCTAAACAAACAAATCATCAGTTTGACGGAAGATGACGGCAACTGAAAAGCAGGGTGACATTCCTGAGTGCGAAAAAAACGAAAATATTGGTGAATCCGTGTGTATTCACTGCAAAAAAACTTGTGAAAATCCGGTAAAATGTGTGAAGTGTGAAGAAAAATTCCATCCATCGTGCCTTAAGCAGGCAGCAGGGAAAAAATCGGCCGTTTGTATCCACCAAACAACAAACCCAAAATTGTCAACAACAATGGCGGCGACAATGGATGAAGAAAATGTAACACAAAAAAACTTACTAAAGGATAAAGAAATAGCCAGTCTAAAGTAGAAAATAAAAAACCTGGAAGACAATTATAGACTTCTAGAGGAAAAACTAGACATCCTTTGGAAAATAAACGCAAATTCTGAGGAAAATGTAAAAATAAACAACCTGCCCCCTTCCCACCTCTTCCGCCCATAAAGTTATCTGTCATGGGTAAAGAGGATGCGGCCGAACTCAAGTCAAGGCCGAAAGATGGCGCCACCAGAAAATCTCAAAAAACCGATATGCGTACCGTCGAAAAACGTAAAGTAGAGCTGGGCGAGCGCGAGTACCCGAAAATAGCGAAACGCCAAATACAACAACAAATAGCTGATTCAAAAGTCAAGCTCGCTGTCATCTCTAATAACGATGACGAAAATAAAGTATTTTATGATGAAAACAATGAAAATGAAAACAAAAACAAATAAAATAAAGACAACAATGAAGTTTTGACCGATGGCCAGGAACAGGGATGGATCCTGGCAACGAGGAAAAAACATAGCAGAAACAAGCTAGTCCAAGAAATAAGACCAAAACCATCATTGGGGATAAATAGCGAGGAAACTGGTCTGAAAATGGCCGGAAAAAAATATGTGTTTGACTCAGGATTTGATTCCGAGGTTTTAAATTTCTAAAAAAATAATAACATGGAATCGGGATGCCGCTGTGAAAAAATGAAAACTAAGCTCATCAAAAAAAGTTCATTTAAACTGGAAGTCCCAAGCGATAAAAAGACTGACTATCTTAACGCTGGTCTATGGCCAACGGGTACTCTATTATTAACCATTTTTTGAACATTCAACGCCGAGGCGAATTCCCTCGAAATCGGGTACATCAACAGCATCCACGGCCAGTGCAAAATTAGAATTTAAACTGGCAAACTTCAATGTCAGATCACTGCGAAATAAAGTGCCTGAACTTGAGGCAGCATTTGTAGAAGACGACCTTGATGTTCTTTGTATCACCGAACATTGGTTATCGGAAGAAGAACTAGTGGCAATAAACATGGAGAAGCTTGATCTTGGCAGCTACTTTGCGCAGAAGTACCACCGAGGGGGAGGTTCAGCAATATATTTTAAAAAATCCTTAACTGATCGACATTTGGATCATATAACAAGGCTAAGTATTGAAACAAGTCGATGGTTTCCGAGAAAAGGGACATAAGTAAAATAAAGCAGTTCCGAGAAAAAAAAAATGGATTTTTCTAACCTTGATAAGTATTGTCAATTTTTAATGGCTTTAGGTAATTGTTACAAAGAAGTACTCCAAGAAAATGACTTATTATAAAAATTTTGATGATTTAGGAGCAAAAATGGATTAGTTTTTCATAAATGTGTCATTTTTCTTGAAATTTTTTTACCATTGTTTAGTAAAATGATTTCAAACATTGAAAGCTATATTTGCTGGGAACAGTTTTTATTAGGAAATTATAGTTTTTTATTCATAAATAACATTCTTATTTATGAACATACATTGGTATCTTAAAATAAACATGTAGTATGTAATTCAAGATACTATAGACTACAGCCGCAAAGAAAATAGATAGAAAAATAAACCAAAAGTATCTCAAATTATCTTTTTTTTTTATAACTCAACCGAACTTAACCAACTAAAAGCATCTTCTAAACGAAGAGACATTTTTTTGCCTCAAAAAACAGTGATAGATATTTTCAAAAAAAAAAAAAAACTAAAGGTTTGTATAAAAATATGAATAAAACTTTGGAATAATGTTTTTTTTCCAGCAGTTTTAATAGGTCTGTCTTTTTATTATCTTTAATTTTTTGTTTTGCACTGTAGGCTTGTTTCAGTTCCATTGTTGTTGAAGGTTCATTGATCTTACGAGTGGATGATGTTCGAGCTTTCTTGATTTCAATAGTTTGCCAGTGTGTTCTCCATTTGTGGTTTTGAGGACATTAAATCCTAACCTTGCAGCTAAATCTTTCAAATCTGAAAAGGATTCATGATTTAGTTCACATACCTCATACGGCGTGCCTCGTTTCTTGGCCGCACGAATGATTCTAACGTATTGTTGCGGAACATAGATGGGTCCCGACCTCAGTGATTTTGTGATTTCTCGCTCAATTGTCGCGTGTTCACTATTACCTTCGTTCTGACTATGGCCTTTCACAAGGAACTTATGAGTAATCGAGTTTATGTGCGGATATTTTTGTACAGCAAATAGGTACATGGACATCATAAAACGGTTTTTCTGCTGACCGCAGCAATTGTCTGAATAAAATATGACAGCCAATACTTTGTTAGAAGTTTTGCTAGCTTGTTCTTCTAAACTTTGCAGATACAACAAAACATAGCTTCCAATTTCATTAACTCCACGGTTGGCTTCTGTTTCATCTCAAACATAACATTTAGCTATGTTCCGTGTCAGCTCAAAAATCGTGAAATTGAAAACATTAATTTTTGATATGTAATAAAAAGAAGAACTATTTCCCCTCGGGCATTGCAGAACCGCCTGTAGATCGTACATGGCGACAACTAAATCATTATTCACATTATTCTTATCTCTCGTCTTTTCTTCTCGCGCTAGATCTTTTTCGACAAGATCTTTTTCATACTTCACCCTACACTTCTCCTTTTCTTCTTCCGATGCGTTGGTAAATGATACGCAATCCTCGCACATGTCTTTTTTGGGCTGAAAAAAGGAAATATTGAAGTCGCTAAACACTCTGAAAAACATTAAGTAATTGGCATGAGGAAGGTCGTTTTCTCTACATTGTTCGACGTAGTCCCTATGTAACTCTGCTACGGTTTTTCCTCCTTCAATATATTCTTTTTTTGAATCCTTCCTACAATAATGGCTCTCTATTCTGGGGATCGAATTTATGTGTTGCCGAACTCCTTCCTTTATTGCATCATCAATTTTACGATGATTATTGTGTTTGCCTCTTAAATCTGTGCTTATCATTCCGCTTACTGATTGTTGTTTCTTATGAAGCACTGTTCGAATTGGGCGATCAGTTATAGCCAGGGTCCCCTTAAAAAATGTTTTGCATACGCGTATTTTATTTCCCCCAATATGAAAATGAAATGCATTATTGCACATTCTATTGCTGTTTTCTCTTTTATATTGGTATTTAGGTGTAATGCTTTCCATACTAAATAGGATAAACTGACGCTGTCTTTGGATATCGCCTAGTTTCCAGAACTCTTCGAATATTTTCTGCCTTTCTTTCACCTGTATTTTTGTAGCGCACTATAGTCTACATTTATTAGTGCATGCCTTTCCAATTTTTTTAGCACCATAAATCCTCTTGCTCTTAGAACTGGATACATATTCTTTCCCAGAATTACGGCGAATCTTGGCAGCAGTTTTCTCCCATGTGTTTTGGTCAGCCTTCCTTTTTCTTTTTTTCTGTAATTCTACTTCTTCAGGTATTACTTCAGAGGATGAAGAAGATGAAGAATCATTATAGTTGGGATCTTTCAAGCTGTCGTCACGTGAAAAGTCCTCGCTTGAACTGCAGGAATCTGATGAGGATGAATCAGAATCTGAATCTGATGATGACGATTGATGAGTAGATGTTGAAGGCAAAGTGTTTTCATCTAAAACAAAAATTGAATATTTTTATTGATAATAAAAATATGTACCTAAATCTTAACTTGAAAAAAATATATCTGACAAAAAATCGCACCTCCAGGTGAAGGCTCCTGCTGATTATTTGCTTCCGATTCCAGTACTTCGCGACTTAACGACGGATGTGAACTTAATGGTGGGTGAAAATCTAAAGGATTGCTGTCACCTGAAACAAAGTTAACAATATAATCTTTACGTCTTCTATTTTAATTTAATATTATTTTTAAAATATAGGGTGGTCCAAAAAAAACCGGAATTTTGTTTTTGAGCTGTAACTTTTTCATTTGTTGGCCAATTTTCTTTTGTTTTGGCTTGTTTGAAAGAGAAATGAACAGGCTAACGAATCAGAGTGGAACTTTTGACATTTGAAAAAAATCCAAAATGGCGGACTCCTTCAAAAATTGCCTAGTTTTGGATAGCGCTGGAACTTTTTTGTGACACCCTATATAAGTTTTTTTAATAAATTCTTAAAGTCCATCATTTTGCGAACATTTTAAGACCTCGACAGAAAAAATCGGTTGAAAACTAAGTGAAATATTGAATTTTTTGTAATATCGAATTTCAATTTTTTATATTGACAGCCAAATCTAGGATATGGTATTTCAGCTAGAACTTTTTTTTCTACTCGAAATATTTTTTTCCTACGAGCGTGCGCAAAGTAGTACTTTTCCGCACGCATTACGATTCTCAAAGTTACACTTTTCCGCACTCAGTGCGGATACGGGCCTTATCCGCACTGAGTGCCGAAAAGTAAAAATAATTGTCAAACAACAATAAGTGCACCTGTCGACTTTGACACATGATGACAAATTTTTCCTCTGTTTCTATATCAGCCAACATCTATACAAACACTGAATATAATTAACTTTGACACATTGTCAGATTTGTGTTCTCCATTTACATGCAAGAATCTACAAACTTCTTTCGCATCAAATTTAAACACTTTAAGATAAACAGCTCTGACGAGGATTTCAATTTGCTGTTTTTTTTGTTATGTAATTTTTTGATGAATGAATAGGTTCGCTTCAAGTTAATTGAAAACAATTGAACAAATTATCGTTTTTTTTAAAAATATTTTTGTTGTTACCTACCTGATATGAAGCTCGTAGGAAAAATTTTGTTCCTAACACGTGCGCAAAGTGTCTTTTCCGCACGCAAACACTTATCCGAACTCCGCTTCGCGTCGTTCGTATAACTGTGTTTGCGTGCGGAAAAGTAACACTTTGCGCACTTGTTAGGAAAATAACTATTCTATTTCGGGCTTGTTCGAAAGATGAATAGATAGGATAAGGATTCGAAATGAAGATTTTGACTGTTGGGAAAAAATTAAAGATTTCCCAGTTCCTTTAACATAGCGAATTTTGAAAAAGTTAACGTTAAGTTTTTCAACAATACGACTAATATTTTTATTTATAAATTTTGAAAAATAAAGAAAACACATTTAAGGGGCAAGAGGCGATATGCCTTTCGTGGGCCTCAAGAACCCATGCTAAACGCCTACGCCAAGAATCGATAGAAATGGCAATGTTACGTTGTTCCAGCAGTTCTCCCCAACACTCAATGATTCGGTTGTGCAGCTCTCCTAAATTATTGAACGTAGTCCCATTTCCGTGTACTTTTTATTCTAAATCCCCTCATAAAAAGTAATCGCAGGAATTCAAATCTGGGCTATTAGGCGGCCAGTCAACGGGCTGTATAAAATCCGCAACTTGCTCTCTTAGATAGTTGATAGTAAATTGGCTAATATGTCACCTGGCTCCATCTTACATACAGACAGTATGTATTACCTTTATTCATAAAAAGAAAAATACAAAAACGTTCAATTTTATCAAAGTTTTTGTGAGAACCAAAATCTGAACAATAAATGTTAACTAGGTAAGTTAAAAAATTACCTGCATAAAAGTGTAGTCTTGAGGTGTGAGCTGTTCAATTTCGGATCAAGGTTCTTAAAGTTAATAGGTTGTCTGGTAATGGGTAACTTGATGACGCATCTAGAGTACCTCATGGAGATTTGCATTATGTTCAGGCATACAGATGACGTCATAAAAGTTATCAGGCAACCTACTTCTCTCAAACAAGATTGATTTCGGATAGAATATGGCGAACACAAGCTGACAATACTTGCGTGAATCCAAGCGAACTCCTTGGTTGATAACAATTAGTTGTGCTTTGTGGCTTCGAGAAATTGCTGCAGAAAGATACCATTAAATAACTGCTGATTTTTTCTCTTCCTTTATTAGCTTGGAGGGAAATTTGTAGTTGGTCGTTTGGCAAATTCTTTACCCCGGATAAGGTGAAAATTTTCCCATCACTGAGCCAAATTTTTCGGATTTCAGCACGGGCTCTTAATCTATTAAGTAGGATAGTTCAAATGTGTAGTCCCGTTTAACATGCTTCAGCATTAAATCACTTTTAATTATTCCTTACTATCAAATATCAAAGAGAGCAAGTTGACTGGCGGCTGGCCGCTTTATAGCGCAGATTTGAATCCCTGCGATTACTTTTTATAGGGGGATTTGGGAGAAAAACTCCACGGAGATGGGGCTACGTTCGATAATTTAGAAGAGCTGCGCAACCGAATCATTGGTTGTGGAGAGAGTGTTGGGGAGAACTGCTGGAACAACGTAACATTGCCAATTTTATCGATTCTTGGCGTAGACGTTTAGCATAGGCTGTTGAGGCCCACGGAGGGCATATCGCCCCTTAAATGTGTTTACTTTATTTTTTAAAATTCATAAATAAAAATATTAGTCGTATTGTTAGAAAACTTATCGTTAAGTTTTTCAAAATTGGCTATGTTGAAGGAACTTGGAAATCTTTAATTTTTTCTCAACCAGTCAAAATCTTTGTTTCGAATCCTTATCCTATCTATTTATCTTTCGAACAAGCCCCAAATGGAAAGATTATATCGAGTAGAAAAAAAAAAATTCAGCTGAAATAGCATATCCTAGATTTTCCTGTCAATATAAAAAATTGAAATTCGATATTACCAAAAATTCAATATTTCAGTTAGTTTTCAACCGATTTTTTCTGTCGAGGTCTTAATATGTTCGCAAAATGATGGACTTTAAGAATTTATTAAAAAAACTTATACCGGGTGTCACAAAAAAGTTCCAGCGCTATCCAAAACTAGGCAATTTTTGAAGGAGTCCGCCATTTTGGATTTTTTTCAAATTTCAAAAGTTTTACCCTGATTCGTTAGTCTGTTCATTTCTCTTTCAAAAAGCCAAAACAAAAGAAAATTGGTCAACAAATAAAAAAGTTACAGCTCAAAACAAAATTCCGTTTTTTTTTGGACCACCCTATATTATTCTTATTTCCATTTACTAATCAAAAATCATAGTACCTTCAGGGGGTATCTGATGCACATGCGTTTCTTTCGGTATACCAGAAGTAGAAGATTGGTGGGAAGTTGAACAAGCAATTTCACCTTCAGGTGGCATCTGATGCAAATTTGTTTCTCTCTTCAGTATTTCAGAATTGGATAATTGATCGGTAGCTGATGTTGAGTTAAACTCTGAACTTTCGTTTGAATCTGAAATGTTGTTTGTAGATAAATCATTTTTCAATGCAAAATAGAAGGACTCGACTGAACAGCACTAAAGGACATCCAGATATTGTTGTCTTGATTGTTGACAAAAATAATTGAAAATTGAAATGTTTAACTAACAGTAAAGTATATCTTGTTGTGGTGGAACCTGATTTAAGTCTACTATAGTTTCGTCGTTTTGACGGTCATTGGATGTGGTATTGATTTTATACACCATCTCCAATATTTTCCTTCCTCGTGTTCCTGCCATTTCTACAAAGCAATGATAAATTAATGATAATTACTTTAATACAACTGACACAACTCCAAAATGGTATTTTTACTCACTATTACATGCTATAATTATTTCCAGAAAAGAGACTTAACTCCAAAGATCATTAGTTAAGTCGTTCAATAAATTTAAAAGTTTTCAAGAAAACTGACAAAACTCTAAAAGATTCACCATACTGATAAAAGTAAACGGTTTGTTGGACTTACCTTATCATCAAAATGTCACAACACAAAATATGACACTTTTCTTGATAAATTAAGCGTATTAGGCATTCCAACGACCTGTCAAAAAGTGCGTTTTGGCAGAAGTTCATTATCCCGCATATGAGAGTATGTAATTTAAAGCTTTTCAAAGTGCATTTTGTGGTTGTTTTGTGAATGAACTGTGTTTATTTTTTTATTTTATGGACTTTATTAGTGTTTCTAACAATTAAAAATGCCACAAACGGGTCTTGAAGTTGATTGTGGTAGCAGTTTCAACAAGGTAACAAGGATGAAGTCAGGGTTTTTTCATTGCCCTTTGTTTCAAAATTTTCCAATTAAAACGTGAAAATTTTCCACTACCGCTGTTCCTGCATCTGAAATAAAGCCATTTTCGAAATATTCGTAAGAATCTAAGCTTTTGTAGGCCTCCATTTGCTCATTAATGTGAACTCTGGATCAAAATGTCATCTGGACATTTTTTTAAACTAACCGTTCGCCCAGATCCCGATTTTCCTGCATTCAAGTCTTTAAATATTCACTCTGCATCTGAAAAAGTATATTATAACAAAGTAAACTGTAATTAGCTTGAAAATATTCCCAATAAACTCAAGATAAACAAACAAACGTCAAATTTTCCACGGTCGCCATATTGAAAAATCACGTGGTTTGGAGAGCCTAATTGTATTCTGACACTTTTTGATATATGCCGCTTTTCGTGGAATAATCCGGGTGAAATATTAATTTTGGACGGCACTTTTTTACATGTGACGTTTTTCTAGACAAATGGATGACACTTCCCCTAACATGGTTAGGAATCAACTAACTTGTGGCAGTTTTCTAGAAACCCGTCGATACCAATCGATCAATACACGAAATGACACTTGGGCCATCTCTTAGCAAAACGTAGAGTTTCACTTGTGACATTTTTTGAGATAAAAATGCTCTCTGCTTTGTGATGTTCTTGGGGGTTATGGATTTTCCTCTACCCTCGATGACTGCACAAGGCAGGGTGCCTGCTTGGACAATATCTTTATTAATTTGCCTAATGGCCACTTGCACCGACTTAACATAATATAAAGGTGGGTTCAAACAGAAAATTGAATCTAACTTAACATTTAAACTGACCTAAAGTCTGTGTTTCTTTTAAAGAGAATTTCATACATCTGTCAAAACTGGTATTCCTACAATAAATTGACAGGTTTTGATTGCTGATTTGAACCAATCAGATTGGAATTACGCGATAATTTGCACTAGTGCAAATCAAATTATCAGATAATTGCATAGGAACTGGTGCGAAAACTGGTGTTTTGACATTTTTTGACAAAAAATTTAAATTTTTGATTTATGAAATTCTCTCATTAAATACAACTCGTGCAAAGAAATATATTTATAATTTTCGACAAATTTGCACTCATGCGTTTTTAACTGGAAAAGGAACTCGTGCACTACGTGCACTCGTGCAACTAAAAATGCATTCGGGCAAATTTCCCAAAAATTATCAATTATTTCCATTGCACTAGTTATATTACTATTGATAATTCCCTAAGTCAAAAATTTAGTAACTATGTTGGCAACACAAGCTTTTTCTACATTAAAAAATTGTAAGCATTGACAATTTTACATTGTATTGCCAACATAATGTCATTTTGACTTTTATCTTAAAAAAAAAAAAAAAACAGACTTTTACCTAGGAAGTTCGAAATATTCAGGCTAACGACGGCGTTCATACAGCTCCACTTAACTTAAGATATAACCTAACTTTACAAGAAGTTCGCCAACTTTTATCTTTTCCTTAAATTAATGTAGATTTAGGGCATTGCGCAAACGCGAATTTTGGCATACGTCATGTATCATTGGCAGAATATATAAAATCTTAAATTAAATTAAAGTTCTTTATGAACGACAAAAAATAAATTTAAATTGAGTCTTAAGTTAGGTTAGGTTAAGTTAAGTTAAATTTTTTGTTAGAACCCATTAAGGACCGGTTTCTCAATAGCGAGTCGCTTCCAGTGGTTTTAACTCCAGGGTAAGCGTGTCGAGTTGCTATGTTTACCCTGGAGTTATGCTTAACCCGGGGGTGACTCGCTATTGAGAAACCGGCCCTAAGGTGGAATCTAACAAAGAATTTAACCCGTAATAACCTATAAATTTCTCATATATCTTATTTTGTTTCTGTAGATCTTCTTTTTGATTCTTATAATACTGTTTCAAAGAATCCAAACTTGATGAAGCAGCATTGAAATTTCTGCATATATTCTCCCAGGCCGCGTTTTTTTCATGAATGGATTGAGCATTAGTTTTTTTATTTTCAATATTTTTAAGTCTTGCCACTATATTAATTAAGGCCTCCTTTTATGCTAATGTAAAGTTCACGCCCCTCTGCTTTTTAGAATTGGGTTTTTCGTTCTTTCATTGCTCAAACTCTCAATCAGAAACACCCAAACTCCGAAAAACCACAAAATACTAAAGACTATTTGTCAACTTTTGTCACACTTTCTGTCTGTTTACTGAGGATTTCGCAACGTTGCCATCGACCCAAATTATTAAGTCCGACTTTGCCAAGTCGGCACAATTTGTCTATGGTGCAAGTAAATTAAATTAAAGGCTAACTTAAAATTAAGACCTGACTTAGCTAAGACCAATTTAAGTTGCGGTTGGTGCAAGTGGGCATAAGTGTGCCAATTTTGACAGGGGCAGTGCTGAAGAGTAGGAAGCTTTGCAGACCCATCACTCAGAGGGGAATGCAGGACTTTTATTGCTCTGTCGAAGCTATCAATTGGGATTTTATAGGCAATTCGGACTTAAATGTAGAGAGGCGATTTCATGTTTTCCTAGGAAAAATTGAGGGTGCGTTCTTGCAGTCATTCCCACAAAAAACTTATATAGTACGATCGGATCAAGCCAATAACATCACTTGGTTTAACATTAATCTAAGAAATATGCGCAAACACTTAAACTTCCTCAGTGAAGTGTACAATCAATATAAAAATGAAGCCAATAAAATCGAGCTAAGAAAGTACCGCCAGATATACATATAAAAATGCTATAAAAAATTAAAAAATCAGGGCCAATGATACTATGATTCGCAACTCAAATAATCCTATAAAAACAACATGGGAGATTATCAATAAAACTAGGGTAAAAACAGCTAAATCATCATCAGAAGACCCAGTATGTATCTGCCAGAATACATACTGGGTGATTTCAACAATTATTTCTCTGAAATAGCTGAAAAACTGTATAATAATATAGAACCTGTTGATAGAGATCCTCTCTCATTTTTGAGATTGCCTGAAAATGATAATGTTTTTACTTTTGATGAAGTGAGCTTTACTGAAGTTAGAGATATCATCTGTCAACTAGAAAATGAAAACAGTACCGATATCACAGGACTGAACACTAAATTAATAAAAACAATAAAAAATCTAATTATTGTCCCACTTACAAAGCTTGTCAATGTCTGCTTCTTATTAAATTAAAAGAAGCTTTGGTTATACCTGTATTTAAGAAGGGAGATCCACAAAGTGTTGAGAACTATAGACCAATTTCTCTTCTACCAATTTTCTCAAAAATATATGAAAAATGTATGGCCATAAAAATAACCAAATAGTTATAGATTTTTGGTTTCACCCTTTCGAGCCCATACTCTACACTGCCGCCTTTATAGGCTTTTTGTATGTCATTCGTATGGGCTCTACTCCTTCTCATTCATACTTTTCATTCATACTTGGAGATCAGATGATTGGCGGCAGCGCGGTCGACCCACCGTCCCGTACTACTGCGGTCACCCATCCAATCTCCAATCCGACACCGCGTTGCTTGGCTTGAGTAGGCCGTCTCTCACGTCCTTGATCAAGAACCAACGTGCCCGGTTCCCACCAAATACTTATACATCGTCAGCTTTTTTGTCTGGATTGCATCTATTAGCGATAATTCCCGACAACTATATGGACACTTTATTTCCACCAGACCATTTGGCTCTACAAGTCCATCCGGTGCTGCCCCAAGATAATAGTCGTTTTCATCCACAAAAAATCCGCACGGCTTTATATCTATTTCTAACGATTCTCCGAACTCTTTAACAGCTATTGGCTCATGATCTATACCATAAGCAGTGCTCAGAGCCGTAAAACTTTTCAGCATTGCTTGTACAGTTTTTTTTGGATCAGTTGTGGAAGTTAACTTGCAAATTTTACCAAAAATTGATGCCGTTATTCTTTTGCGCCTTTCTTAAATCCAAACTGCAGAATCTCTCTGTTCCTTCGTGGCTTCCATAATCTGCTTAATCTCCATCTTATCTTTTCTTAACCCATTTAAAAATTGATCCTTTCGTCGTTCCCACTCTTCATCGTCAATCAAAGGTTGAACATCCCCATAATCTTCGTCAGCTTCCTGGCTATTATTCTTTTTCGTGAATGCTTTATTTTTATTTTTTCGAGGGAATAATTTTTTTCTAGTAAATATTCGACTAGCAATTCCTTTTTTCCTAACAATATATGTTTTCATGTTTTTTCTTGGACTTTCACCTGTTAGGGCCCTGTGTAAAACGTCATAATAATCTGCTCCTTTGTTGAAAGAAATACCAGCGGCCTGGCAACGTAGCGAGTATCCACATCTCTTGGAAAAGTTAATCCTTTTTCCTGAAATAAATTTTGCAATGACACTGTTGAAGCTTTCGGCATTATTATTGGTCATATTTTTTACCAAGCTTCTGCTGTTAAATATAAGACGATTTGCATGAGACATAATATCATTGTATAATCCACATTCTTTCATGCTTGGAATAAGGTTACACTCATTCTGCTTGTCTCCATTGAAAAAATATTCATCATATTGTGAGTGGTCACCAAATACATGGGAAATTCTGTTTTCAATGTCTTTTCTAAGATTTAGGACTTGTTGCTGGAAAGAAACGTTTTCAGCTCTTCTATATTTTACAGCACAATCTATAGCAACTCTCAATCTTTGGAGGTTATTCTTCAAAGATGTTTTAAGACCAGTACTGATTGCTAAACCTTTGGAACTAAATTTTTTAGTGGCCAGCTCTTTGATGGTATTGCAGTAATTTCTAAGGTGATTGGAACATTCGATTTTCTGGATTGCAAAGTTTCCATATGGTCTATTAGTTTGCAATTTTTTGAAAACACTGCTATCGCCAACTAGATGGGAGTATTTTACGCCGTGCATCTCTATGCTTCGTTTGAATCCTTCAAGTATGATGTCACTTTCCATGGATGTTGACGTACTTGACCAGTTCTTAAAGCATAGATGATCTTTTGAAGGATTTACTTGACACATCGCGCAGAACTTATTTCTTATGCCCAAAAATAGTAACTTTCCTGTTTTTTGTCCAACGATGCAACCCGCGCCAGAATGAGCATTATATGCCGAGCGATATGAGCGTTTTCACCAAGCTCCATCGGCTATTACGGTTACCTTTGGAACTCCATCTTCATCCACCTCACCATTTTCTCTAGCAAGCTTAGCTTCTTCTGCACCAGCTTCCTTCATGATGTTCCAGTTTTCCTCTTCTATAACTTTTTGTAATTTTTTTCCCTCCGTTTTGTATAGCCTGTAGCCTATTGGTGGGATGTCTAGGGTGCTGGCAAATTCCGAAAGCTGTGAAAATCCGCAACCAATACTTATTGTGGCTAAAACCGATGCTTGATTGGTATTCAATTTTCCGTCTCTTGGTATTATTGTAACGGTCTTTTTCACACATTTTGCATTTAATAATAATGTCTGAAATAAAACCTTTTCTTTTTTCATTGACTATTTCTAGTTCTCGTGGTGTACAGGAGAATAGCCCGCAATGATTGAATGAAATAATTTCTTCGAGAAAATGCCTAACGTTTATTATCCGATTGCCCTCCAGTATAGAATTTTCATCTTTGATAGGTCTGAAACGTGTTTTATGTAATTATATCATATATTATCAGGCATAATAATAATTATAATAATAATATTACCTCTTTCTCCCTTTTGTCTCAATTGTAGGACTGAGTAGAGTTTGTTGAGATTGTGTATACTCGGTATTCTCCACAGCTTCATTGTCCATATGTGAATAAGTGCTACAATTTTACCGACTTATTAATATGTACTTAGTAAAAATCATATAGAAATAAAATTTTACCTGTCGGATGGGGTTATTATCTCTATATCTGATATATTCTCGGCAATTTTCCTGTTTTCATTAGCTGCTGACATAGAAGCTTCATTGGTCATTCCCTTTTCTTTTTTACTGCTCAGCTATTTAATATAAATGAAAAGAGTAGGTACATATTTTATTACCTATCTATCTAGTTCTTAAAATTTTCAATTTTTACCACTGAATTGACTGAAATAAAATTTGAGTCCCAAAAGTGCAGAAAATATATTTTTTCCCAAACGGTAAAAAAAAAGACATTTTTAGACTATGCTCGGGTGCAAAAGCCAACAATTCTCGTATTGGTCAAAAATATGCTTGTTGCTTTCCACTAAACACCAGTAAATCACTTTAATTCCGGCGGAATAAAAGTGAATTGTTTAATAACTTAATTTGTCTTGGTTGGGAATAAAATAGTATATATCATGCGGACTCAAAGCTCATTTTTAATCCTTATAATATAATATACTATTTTCTCCAAACGTCTAAAAAACGTCACTTTGTCAGCACCTGTCAAGATGTTAGAAATTTAATTTCTATGCTGGTAGGCAATTCCAGCGGGTTAACACCTGTCGAGGTGGTAGAAATTTAATTTCTATGCTGCTAGGCAACCGCAGCGGCAGTAGAAGTACTTTTAGTGCCGCTGGAGCGGCAGCAAAAGTACTTTTAGTGCCGCTCGTACTTTTACTACCGCTTAACCATTCAGTTACCCCCGAGCTTACCCCATTCGTTTGGAGAAAAAATAGCGTGTTGCATACGGAGTAGAAGCACTTTTTTGTGCTTCAGCAGTATTGCAAGCCTCACTACGTTCGGCTCGCAAACCCACTGCTTCAGCACAAAAAAGTAAAGCTTCTACTCCTAATACAACAATATACTATTTTTGCAACAATAGGGTACTTGCATGAAAAATTAAATTGATTATTGTTTATTGTAAACTGTAGGAAATCGAAAAAAAATCGATGTTATATTTTTTTGTTTTACCCAAATATGATTATTCCGGAAGTTATACAAATAATAAGTTTTGTATGTATAGATATACTGAGCATGTGCGACGTCATAAATTTATACGATAAGTGACGTCATAGGCATATTTCATAGTGTTGTATCTCCGTCAATTTTTGACTAAAAAAAAAAAGAAAAAACACGTGTTGACTTAGTTTTTATCGACTAACAAAATCAGCGATAAAAAAATTGATTCAAGTACCTACCCCATTTAGTCAAACAACGAATAAAATCAACAAAAACAAATTTCGATGATTTTTATACAGTGTATAACAAAAATATGGAAATCCCTTCTACAAGATGGGACGCATCCGAGTTGGGTCCCAAACCTTATTCACTTACCTGCCCTTAAAAAGGTGTGGGCCGAATTGGGACCGAAGAAGATATCTTAGATTCTAAGAAAAAAATGGGAAAAAATAGCCTTGTTGCCGCACTTCTAAATTCCTAACAAAATATAGTGGGATACTACTGGGGTATAATGGCCATTCTTTAAGCCGTGAATTGTGAAAAGTTGTACAAAACATTTTGGACAATATTGAAAGGTTCCATCAACATACCAATCTGGAACACCAGTTAGAAATTTTATGTTAGTGTTCGTTGAAAAAATAACAATATGATTAACTTTGTCGTTTAGCAAAAGAAAATGTTCATTTTGGTTTGTTTTTGCCCCGTTGCCTTCTATCACTTCTTGAAACTCGTGGACATTTTTGTTAAGTTTACATAAAATCGATGTTCTGGCGTGATAAGCATTTTTTCTTGATCTGGTAATGTCATGTGTTGTTACTGATTCAAGATCGGATTTATATAATTCTAGACGTATCAGCTTCATGGGTTTCTCCGTAGGGATATCCACAGGTGCTCTCTTGACGGATTGAGACAAAACTTGGCGACTTGAGAGATGATTTGGTTGTTTTTCATGATTATGTTCCAACGTTGATTCGATTATGAGGTTTTCCCCAGTTGTTTTCACAAAGGCTTTGCAAAATGATTTTTTGCATGTACATATCCACCTTTTTACACCAACTGCCAAGTCTTTTTGGAAGCCAAATTTGCACCCGTTAATCAGTAACAGCGATTTTCCTTTCTCAGTTGAAAGTAGCGTACATTCCATTCTTCTAACTTATCTACTCTCACTAACAACAATTTAAACAGCTCAATTAACAACAAACGAATTTAATTAGCGAGTGAACTTAATAACCATGGGGTACCAACCTTATAACAATAGGAAATATACCTGTAATACCACCCTCTCGAACCTCCAATTAATTACTTGGAGTACCTACCATGAAATCTAGGAGACTATCCTAAATCGGCAACACTGTCCTATTAAAATTCAGTTTTATTCAATTATTTGGATATTACTGTGGACCCAATTAGGCCCTAGGCCGGACCCAACTGGACCATAATTAAATATACCTGCCAGAATTGGGACCCAACTCGGACTTCCACACAAGGGACTACCATCAAATTTAAAATGTGACGTAGCAAAATTTTGTTTTTTTCCGGATATCTCCGAAATTGTTCAGAACTTTTCAAATGTCAAAGTATCAGTTTATTGAGCGTTGAATTGTGCAACTTTTACCTAATTTAACCAATATTGTAATTCCAACCGTTTCGCAGATCCTTAAGCTTGATTTATAAACTCTCAGTCACCGTTCGTTGTCACCGTTCCCGTTCGTTGTCACCGTTCGTGTCGTTTCTGAGCATTTATAAACTCTAAACCGTTGCCGTTCCCGCTGACAAAATGTATACATTTTTAGGTTAGATTTATATCATAAGATTTATATTGTCGTTATCGATATTGTGTGTTTTTTTTTTCTCTGTAGGTACTTTGTAGAAAATAAATAGTTTTTGTTATGTTCGGTGTTTTCTTACATACATAAGTACATTATTTAATCATTTGGGCCTTGGACTGGAATAATAGGTACCTAGGTAAGTACAAATAATAATGATAAACTTGATTATACCCATCTATAAAATTTTGTTTATCAAAGTTAAAAGCTGGAAGCAATTACAAACATGGATACTGTTGATATGGATGCTGCAGGACTAACCATAATTATGTTACTCTGTGCAATGCTGAAACATAAGAAACGAAGAACGAGAAGATTTAAAGTAAGACCCATCAATAGGGCAAGACGGGACAGAGGCAATTTTCATTATTATAGAAAAATGAAAATGTGGGATCCTCAACAGTTCTTTAAGTTCACACGAATGACTGTTCCCATTTTTGAGGAGTTACTACAAAAAGTAAAACCTCACATTCAGAGAGCACCAAGAAAGGATGGAGTGAATGCTGAGGAAAGACTTGTCTTAACTCTGCAGTAAGTTTGCTATTGCTAGATGTAATAAAAGTTTTAATTTTCACTTTGCAATGTTGCTAGGACCTAACTGGTTTGAAAAAAATTTGTAGGTTTCTTTCGCAAGGTTGTTCTCTGCAAAGTTTGGCCTGGAGTTTCAATATTGGTCTTGCTACAGCCCATTTTATTGTCCACGAGACATGTAAGGTTCTGTGGGATGTTTTGAGCCCAGAATACTTACAATCCCCCACAACTGAGGAAAGATGGTTGAGTATAGCTGATGAATATCAACAGAAATGGAACTTTCCACATTGTTTGGGAGCGCTTGATGGGAAACATGTTAATGTACAGGCTCCCGCTGGTAGTGGGTCCCTGTTCTATAATTATAAAAAAAGATTCAGTATCGTTTTATTGGCAGCATGTGACGCTAAACATTTGTTCACTTTGGTGGACATAGGTGCCTATGGTTCCCAAAGTGATGGTGGTATATTTAAAAATAGTGTTTTTGGCCAGAGGTTAGAGGAAAAAAACATGAATGTCCCTGAAGCAAGGCAGCTTGGAAACTGTCCAATAAAGATTCCGTATTTTTTGGTCGCTGATGAAGCATTTCCATTAAAGGAATATATAATGAGACCTTTCCCATCCACAAATTTAGACCCCAGAGAAAGAATCTTTAATTATCGCCTTTCTAGGGCTAGACAAACTATTGAGAATGCCTTTGGCATACTGGTGGCTAGATGGCGAGTGCTAAAAACTACAATAAATGCCAAAGCTGAGAATGTAGATAACATCGTAAAAGCAACAGTTGTTCTTCACAATTTTTGCAAAACAAAATTTGATCAAGAAACAGGAACAGGAAATATGTACTGCCCCAGCGACTTTATGGATTCAGATGGCCAAAGAAATGGGAAATGGAGAGATGAAGGAAACTTCCTGACTAATTTAGGCAGGCAAGGTTCCAATATTGCCAAAAAAAACCTGTACAAGATAAGACAAGTATTGTCAGAATATTTCATGTCAAATGAAGGAAGTGTTTCCTGGCAAGAAGATGTCATAAATAGAGGAAGGCGATTTAATTGAGTAAATTCGAACATAATATTCTATTTTTTTTTTAGTTTTTGTATAGGTTTACATATATGGAATAAAACATAAATTTATTGTCTTAATTTTATTTACTCTAAATCTTCCACAATCAGTAGCATTCTCCGCCTTTTCTGTTTAGCTTCATCCTTGTCCATAGAATTGAGCCGAGATAAATTATATTGACAAAATGCTTCATTCTGAGTTGGCTCTTTTACTGCAGTGCTTTTGCGAGAACTAATAGAGTCTGCAACTCTTTTTGCAGCCTCCACCATCTCGGCACAATCAGGATCTGCTTTTCTCTTTAAACTTCTGGAAGCTGCAGAATAGATAAACAGATATGGATTCACAATACAGGAATGTGATGCTAGTTGCTATACTTACTAGGTGTTTTTTTATATTATCCATACGCGATAATGGTTCATGTTCACCCCCCGATACCTCTACGTCTGTATTCTGTTCGGTTTCAGTCGCAGGGGACATAATTGTTTCCATAGTATTCCAAACATTTGTATTGGAGCATGGCGACTTAGGTTCTCTGTTTTCTTTCAGTATTGGTGTAGCTGAACTAGTCCTGGAATTGAAGCGGTTTCAAAATTGCATACTGACAAAGTTATTCTATATTCTTATTCTCAGTCATCTATTTTTTACAAATGTCTCACTATAATTTTGAAATAATCTTGTAAAAATAGATAATCATACTTTCTAGGTCAACAAAATTTTCCATAAAATTCCATTTTTTTGTAAAATTTCCATTGGGACTCCAAGCAACCCGAGCCCGAAGGTTTCTCTCGTTTTTCCCGCATATATTTATCCCTTGCATTTTTCCAATTTTTTTTCAACTCCGGTACTAGAAACATGTTGAATCATAATCAGGGAAATACTTGAGTACCTTTGCTTACCTGAAACGCCCATAATCTCAGAGATCTCCTTCCAAGATTCTTCCTTTTTGTTGTTATCTTTGTAATGTTTATTTGAAAGGTCATAGAGGTGATTATAGCCTTGGACTAGTTCTATGAGCAAACCCAAATCCAGCGACTGCTGGTACTGCAATTCTATTTTTTAATTGATATTAAAAATAAATATGGCTCTTATATTGAGTATTTACTTACCATTTTCAGAATCCATCCCCACAATTTATAGAAAAACGGCAAACACAAAATTTCAGTTGCCCCAGCACACAATTTGTAAATAAATAATAGGTACCTAAATATAAATAAAATAGGATTCACTAATCACTATTCACTTCACCACCTCAACTGTGTTGCTTTGGAAATTAGAAAACACAACACAAACAAAAACACATCCTAACCCAATATATTTATCTTGAATCACATGACCAAAATTGTCTAATTTGATTGGCTACTGCACGAACGTCGAACGGTCGAGTTAAAAGTTAACCAAGGTGGAACGGTGCCGTTCGCGAGGAAAACGACGAACGGGAACGGCAACGGTGGATATAAATGCTTACATTAATTTCCTATATTTGAAGTTGGAACGGGAACGGGAACAACGAACGGTGACGGGAACGGTGGAGTTTATAAATCACACTTAATGGTATCTCATCCTTATCTTGGAAATTTTCGTAATTATATTATTTCAATCGGCTCTAGAAATATTTGACCGTTCCCAGGCTTTTGAAACACACTGTATATTGGTAATTTAGGTATTCAAAAAGGTATTCAATAAATAAAACACTCAACATCTTTTTGCAATTAACTTTCTACTATTTCTAGCGGTAGACATTTTAATCCTTTTAGTTCCCATTTTCTCAATATCACAGCACAATATTGTAACGTTCCAAAATCACCATTAGAGGTTTTACTAGCTTTGGGTTAGGTATTTGTTTTGAAATTGGTTATTTTCCGCCGGCTAAACTGGCTGTCTGCAAACAAAGGAAAATTAGACATAAATATACGAACGTAATACTTTACTTACCTTATTCCCAAGAGCTGGGGCTTCCTTGATTTGACTCGCTGAGTTGTTGCCATGGTGAGAGTAGGGATGGCTTTATTTTTGCACTTCGGTATTTTCTTCCTTATCTAGAAATAATTAACCGATTAAACGAACTTACCTGTGATGTTCAATCGGAATTATATGAGGTGCCCCGTCCGTAGATATCACACTTGGTAGTGTCGCCTTTGCGCACTTATGACCACAAATTTTAAAGAAGAAGAGGCAAATAGCGTGCCCGTTCTGCCGCTAACTTCTCTTAATTCCTTTCACCCTAACCTCATTATTTCAAAGCATTGGAGGGAAGAAAAAACCCTGGGGATTGTTGTCAAATTGTCATCAGCATGATATTTATAATTATGAATATCATAATACATACCAATACCAATACACAATTAAAAAACAATATTTATTGTAGCATGATATTACATTGATGATTTTTCGTGAATTTTAATTCAGCATAATCTCAATTGACAACACATTCTGGGTTGCGGTGGGTTGTGATATCTACGGACGGGGCACCTCATATAATTCCGATTGAACATCACAGGTAAGTTCGTTTAATCGGTTAATTATATTTCGGTGCCCCGTCCTATGATATCACACTTGGTAGCTGTTTAAAGCATTTAGGTTTTTTCTTCCCCTATATGATTCATAAATCTGCTCTAGGCCTATGCATAACTACCTAGCTTCTTAAGCTTATGCATCTAAGCAGACCTTGGCTCCTCTCATTAGGATAGGATATTAGGTATACCTATTTGAAAAGAGAAAAAGTTTCTATCAACACTTGTATTAAAAGGATTACACAAGTAGAAAAGTCCATGAACAAATCATTTATCCTAAAGTTGTCTACTACTTCTTAGTTAGGGCTTTAGCAAAGTCGTGTAATTTCTGGTCAGGTAGACGGTAATGTCTAGCAAACATCTGGGATGCGTTTGTCCAACCTGCTGTCCTTCTTATTACTTGTAAAGAAGCCCCGTTTTTAAAGGCTGTAGACGTAGCTGCATGCCTAGTAGAGTATGCACCAAATATCCTGGTATCAATTCCAGCCTCTGATAGAGTAGCCTTAATCCAGTTGCTGATAGTATTAGTACTTGCTGTGTTAAATGGAGGACGAGTGCATATAAATAGAAATTCCTGACATTCGGATCTATATTCAGCGGTTCGTGAGATGTATGCTTCCAAACAGGAAGCTGGACAAATCTGGGGTCTTTCTTGAAAATATGGGATTTGCAAGCAGAGATTATTAGTGTTGCTGCTGGTAGTTTTTATGTGATCTGATATAAATATTTGTAAACCTGATGAATCTATGATTATGTTGTTAACTCTTATTCTCGCCAGTGTTTGTAATCGATGTCCAGTGATTAAAGCCAGAAGGGTTGCAATCTTTCGCGATAGGGCTATTAGGGATAAAGATTCATTGGGAACTTTTGTTTCCAGGAAATCTAGAACTGTGTTAGCGTCCCAAATAAAATCATATTTTCTTCTAGGTGGCCTTAACTTGAAAATGCCTTTCATAAACCGTCTTATATTTGGTTTATATCCTATATCAAAATCCAAGATAAGTGATAAAGCAGATCTGTATGTGTTGAAAGAACCATATTTGAGCTGCTTAGTTTGAAACTGTTCACTTAGGAAATTGATCACCTGTTGTTCATCCGCTGTAAAAACGGAGAGCTTGTGAAGTTGGCAGAAATCCCACCAATGTTTATATGCACTTTGATATTGCTTGATAGTAGAGTCTTCAAGGGATCTCATAAGAATAGGTATTGCAGCTTCTGGATTACCTTTCTTCAATAATGCTCTCCTGATAAGAGCCCTGCCTCCAGGGAAAGGTTCAGTTGTTTGAAGCACCTGGAAGGAAAAATAATAGGGTTATCTTCTGGATGGAAAATAATTGGATCTTTAATAAGCATCTTTCTCCATAAGGGGTACCAAGGTTGTGAGGGCCATCTTGGAACCACTAAAATACCTGTAGCCCTGTCTAGCTGTATTTTGTTCAATACTCGAAGTACTAGACAAAAGGGAGGGAAAGCATAAAAGAAAAATTCTCTCCAAGAAATGGTAAAAGCGTCAATAACGACTGAGCCTGGATCTGGTAGATATGAGGCATATATAGGACATTTCTTGTTTATGCAAGATGCAAAAAGATCAATAGTTGGATCGCCCAAAAAATTAGTGATTATTTTGAACAAAGTATTATTTAATTCAAATTCTGTTTCAGAGGGTAGTATCCTTGATTCGTGGTCAGCTATAATGTTTTGAGATGAAGGGATATAACTTGCTTTAATCCATAAATCCCGTTGTTCACACCACTGCCATAGATCCTTTGCCAATTTTGCTAAATGTGGGTATTTGACACTACCCATACGATTGATATAGGCTATGGCAGTGGTGTTGTCTATTCGTAAAAGGATATTTTTTGACTTTTGATTTGCAAAAGTTTTTAGACCTAAAAATGCACTTTTTAGTTCAAGAAAATTTATATGCTCCTCCTGATCTTCCATGGTCCACCAACCATGAGTCCTCGAAGAACCACAAACAGCTCCCCAGCCAGTCAAGGAGGAATCTGAGAAAATTTCCAAGTCAAAGAAGTCTGCACGAATTTGGTTTTGGGAACTTGGTATAGAGGTTTTCCACCATATTAAATCAGGCTTTACACTTTCAGGAATATTCACTTTACTGTTGAAATTTTGACTGTTGGCTATCAAGGATTTTGTTTTAAAACTTTCTAGTTCCCTTGTATAAAGCCATCCATATTTGACAGCTGGACAAGCAGCAACTAGAGAACCAATTACTTTCGCTAGAAATCGTATACTACAGGACCTAGACTTTAACAGCTCCTCTATAAGGTTTAGGATCTTTATCCTCTTTTCCTCAGGCAAAGATAATGTCATGCTAGAACTGTTAAATAAAAAACCTAAATAAACACATTCATTGGAAGGCTCTAGACTGCTTTTTTCATAATTTACTATAAAACCTAGAAATTCAAGTAATGAAGTTGTAATTTTTATATGTTCCTTGCACGTTTCATAATCATCTGCTATAATTAAAAAATCATCTAGGTATACTACACAGTATACACCCAGACTTCGTAAGTAGGTAACCACTGGTTTTGTTAACTTAGTAAACGTGTAAGGAGCAGACGAAAGTCCAAAAGGCAATGCCTTGTACTGAAAAATCTTTTCCCCAAGTTTAAAACTCAGGTATTTACGATGGTGTTTGTGAACTGGTATTGCGTAATAAGCGTCCTTAAGGTCTATGGTGCCCATGAAAGATTTGGGCTTTATGAGCCTCAAGGCCACTCTATAATCTTCCATTTTGAAATGGACCTCTCTGATAAATGTGTTTAAGACTTTGAGATTTAGAATGAATCTGGCTTTTTTGTTAGGTTTTTCAACTCTTATCAACTTCCTCGATGACCCTTTGATTTAAAAGGTCCCTGACACATCTAGAAACTAAGCTAGGGTCCGAACGGGAGGGAGGAAGGTAAACCCCATGGTTGTTAGGTGGATCCTTCAAGAAAGGCAATTTATACCCAGTGATCCACTGTAAAACATAGTTGTTACTCTTAGTGATATCTGACCATCTTGATGCAAAATGTTTTAATCGCCCACCTATGGTACTTACCTCTATTTCCGTGTTTTTTCGTAATATTTCCTCCTGTTTCCCTGGCTCTGAGGTTGCCCTCTCTGCCTCGAGTCCCTCGCAACTCGGGGCGGGCCCCTCCAGTTTAAAGATCTGTTCCCTTCTGAAACCGAAACTGTAGATGGAACTGTCTCTCGAGGTCTACTGCTCGAGGATATAGATGTCCTTGGTTTGGTGGTCGAAGCTAGTGCAGCCTTATTTGAAACAACAAAAGGTTGTTTGAATTTTAAGTCCTTGCTAGACTTTTCTAATTCCATTATCTTCTTATATTTTTCACTAAAGTCTTTTCCTAAGAGATAGTCGTCTACTAGATTACCAAAACCCACATCCCTAGCAGGTTTTGATAGACACGGAGCTACTGCTGAGCGCCTATAGATCGAGGCCACGTAATGTGTATTAGTTAATATTTGTCCCATATTACCAGCATGGTTTATTAAAGTATTTCGCTGAGGCATATTCTTCTCCTCTAGTATGATATTTATAATGGATCCCAAACTGGCTGCTGCAGCTGACATGTAATTTTGCAA